GGCGGGGAGCCCGACTCGCTGCCTTAGCCGCGCCGTCAGCAAGTGCCCCGCCATGGCCGCGCCGCCCTCCCGAGCAGTTTAGGTCCCCGCCATGGTCCTTGCCGGTGTTTCAGATCGCGTCTGATCCAGGCGGGGCGCGGATCGGTCCGGGGGGCTGCGCCTCCTCGCCCTCAGCTCCAAAATGCCATCCAAAGAGTCCTGGCCGGGGCACAAAGCGAATAGGTCCGCGGTGCACAACTCGAAGCAGGAGAGCCGTCAGCAAGATTTGTTGATCGCAGCCCTGGGGATGAAACTGGGCGCTCAGAAGTCATCTGTGACGATCTGGCAACCTCTTAAACTCTTTGCTTATTCGCAGTTGACATCGCTCGTCAGAAGAGCAACTCTGAAAGAAAATGAACATATTCCAAAATACGAGAAGATCCATAACTTCAAGGTAAGAAATTACGCTACTTACTCGTTTTTAAGACACGAGGGCTATAGCTTTTATTTTAAAATGGGTCCAGTGTTGCAAGGAAATAATATATATGCAGACCGTGACTTTCTGGGAACTTAAATGCTTCAATTAAATCTCATTGCCGGTTAAATCAATTAGATATCTTTAGAACATATCAGCAGAAGAACGAGGATTTTGTTGTTGACTGCTTGTGTGCATGTATTTGTTTCGGTTGTATTTGCCGTGTCGAGGTTACCTCTCTTATTTAGAATTGGTTTATAGCGAGGGAGATGCTGAAGGTGAGAAAAAACTGGCAAAGTTTCCTTTCACTCCAAATGAACATAGTGCAGTTTTACTTATGATGCTACGATGCCAAAAAACCTTTTAGATCTGTGATTAGAGGATTAAACTGATCTTGTCTCAGTTTGTCGCTGGTAAATAGCTTTGGAGGTAAGCAGCATGTTCTGCCGCATCTGGATTGAGCAGATGGTCTGCATTTCCCTTAGTTTCTGGCTTTTCTCCTGTGTTAATGAATCGAGCGTGTTGAAAGCAGCATGGCTTATACCAGGGGGCTATTGGGGCTGCTGGCATTAGCAACTACCTTGTGGTTTATTAAAATTTACTTAGTCTTCTAGGTAGCTTCTAATCATTGTTTTAATTATTTTAAATAAACTATGCTCTTTGGTAAGAGAGACACGTGTCAATACAACATATGCATGTTTTGTGTCTGTAATAACTGTCCAGTAAGGATTTAGTAATTTAACCTTTTGGCAGTCAAGTGCATCGCGTAACAGGCAGCCTTTATTTGAATTGATGTCATACTGAATTCCTGTAGACGATGGTGCAAACTTCATATATAGTACCTGAAGCCCAGATTTTATCTTTAATGTGTGTTTTTTCCCCCATGTAGCTTTTGCTTTTACTTATTTTATTTATGTTTTAGGAGAAGGGGAAGTCATTAACACAATACAGGCATCTGAAGATATAAGCATCTGTTAATTGTCTCTTATTTTTCCAGTTTTGCTTTCCATCACACACATGTGCATGTGTGAGCGTACACGTGCGTGCACATATGTATGTTTACCTATTGTCCATCTGATTTTATTTAAACCACTTTTTGGCTTTTGAGTTCAGATAATCACTAAAATCGGAAACTTTATATGATCAGGATGTTGTTTGACTTGAGTTCTTCAATAAAGCACGTATTTGAAAATCACGTACAAAATGTTATATAAAAGAGTGTTTAATATGAACGCTTGGTGTAAAATAATCCTGCTGGCTGTCAGTTAAATGCAGAGCATTTTTTCACAGGCTCCTGACGTGTCCTGGAGATCTGAAATGTCTCGCAACTTATATTTATTCCTTAGGGTTTGAAGATAATTCTTGCAGATGCCAGCAGACAGCGATTTTCCATGTACTACAGTGTATGTAGGATAATACGTAGTTAGTTTTGCGCACATCTGTATTCCTGAGTTGCTTTCCATTTAACAGCCTGAAACACAACTGTTTTGAAAGCAGATAACCTGATTTTCATTGGTTTGGGTGTGTTTGTTTGTTTTTCTTCCAGAAACTGTTTCTGGATAGTTTGGAAGCTGTGAGTTTTCTAGTCTTTTTTCAAAACCAAACTGTATGTCTGATCCAAGGTCATAGCTACAGCACAAACTTTCCACACAGATTGTTTGCTTTAGAACAGTTGTACTGCAGTTCCTTTATACATACAGTTGCCAAAAAAATACACCTTGAGAAGTAACTCTTATTTTCGTAAGTCAGTGAAATGCAGCCACCTTACGCAGATACTTACTGCTATAAAAACGTAGAAGGGATCAAGCCCCTTAGCCCTTGAAGGGTGCACAGCAACCAAGCTACCCGCTGAAGGAATCCTGCTGGCGTTCACGAGCTCCAAATGTGGCCACCGTCGCCTTTTTTAAAAAAATAACCATAAGCCCTTCATAACTACTGCGTTACGGATCTGAAATGAATGGCCGCCATTAGCTCATGTGCTTCTCTCTCTTACCATTCCTTGCATCTGTCAAATTTTTCTTCTCACATGTATAGACATCATCATTTAAAATGTCCGCAGAAGCCTCCTAGGTTGCCTGCTGAGCAGCAAATGTGCCACCCATGTGGGAAGGAAGGAAATGTCAGCCCCAGAGTCTTGAACCTAGACTTTTGAAACAAAACAAGAAAAGACAACCCAGAAATGAAATAAATTTATATAATTCGGCTAACCAACAGTGACTGCTGTCCCCAGAGGCTCCACCGGCAAAAAGGAGGACGCCCGCCGCTTTGTACTTCTGCAGCTAATCTTCTCTTCGTTATACAGGCACGAGGTGACCGATAGGACCCCTAACCCTCTCCCGGCAGCTTCTTTGATCAGTCCCATCGCTAGTCACAGAAATGAAGGCGTCTCAGAAATCCTTTTATACTGGAAATACTGTAACATCCCCGCAGAGGGAGGAGAAGTGGAGAATCATTAATGCACAACAACTGCCGCTGTTGTCTTGGAGAAGGGAAGAAGATGGCAGCAGCCGCTCCAGAGGCGAGGCGGGCTGGGGTTAGCAGACGCCCCAGAGGCTTGGCCACAGATTAGGAGACCTCAATTCTCCCTCCAGCCCTGCACCTCCTGTCCCCGTGGGGTGGGTAGGTGGGGACGCAGGTAGAGTTTGGACCCTCAGACTCTGTTGTCTCTGTCACAGCTTAGGTAGAGGAACACAGTGGCAGAGAAGCAGCGCAGCGATAGTCCTCACAGGGGTGCAGACGCCTAGGGAAGGGGTGAACACACAAGCTGCTTTTAACTCTTAAATCGTCAAGAGGTCTCCTGAATAAATCCGTTAATCTATGTTTTGCTCCAAGGGTTGTTTGAGGGAAGAATGTAGAAGAATGTAGTTCTGCTAGGAGTGCTGACACGGCTGGGTTTTTGAAAGGTCTTAATCTTACTTAAATCTCCTGGAATGTGAGTTGTCTCTTGCCTGAAGTGAGGAGGCTGGCTAGTCAGGGGGATGGGGGGCCCTGCGGGCAGAGCTGGCCAGGAATGGTCTCCTCCAGCTCCGTAATATTCTCCTGACTGGGGAGGTCTGGTCTCTCATGAGCACATCTCAAGTGCAAATACAGAGTGGCTGAATTCTCTTAAATTAATCTCCATAAGTAAAGAAAGGGATGATGATTTATAAATGTCAGATCTGACTGAGTTTTTAATGCCTGTTCCTCAGGATAAGAGCTGGGTATTAAATATATATATATATATATATATATTTAAGCGTATTTGGGCTTTTTTTAATTTATAAAAAGTTTTCAATTGATCTTTCTAAATCTAATACAAAAGATTAATTTTCTCTTAATTCAAATATATCAGCTAAAAGAGGTCTACATTGTTTGACACAGCATTTTATTTAATTGAATAATGGGATTTGAAGGTGAGCTAGGACCTTGAGTGTGACTTGATTGAGTCTGTCTATTTGCATATTTGATTTCTTTTGCTTTCCCTCCATATACTCTGCTTTTCTGAAATCCAGCACACCGAACAAGATCTCTTGTAAAATGAATCATCAGACCAAATCAGGACAGGCACTTCACCGTCCTCAAAATTTCAGCCCCATCTTCTTTCACAGACAGGCTTTTCCTTTCTTTGAATTTCTTATCTATTATGGGGAAGGAATCTCCCCAGACTCTCTGGTACACGCGTATCTATATGGACACATGTGTGTGTGATGGTTATCAAGTTCGTTCTTCTACCTGATGTAGATGAACGATAGCATCTCCTGTCTGGAAGCTCTGAGAGGCCTGTGGGGTGCTCTTTGAAGTGCTGACAAGGAGCATAGTTGAAGCCAGTGGTGTTATTTTCTTGCAAAAAGAAGCTTTATCATTGGGAAAAGTTCTGTAACATTTCATAGAAGTGGATTTATACCTAATCGTTCCCATAAATTTATTCTACAGCTGGACTCTACCAATAAGAATGTTTTTTTTCTGTACCTGATAAATCTCATACTTGCTCATCTTGTCCCCAAACCGCAGCAACTGTGATATTGTATTTTAATTTACAAGCTTTCTTACCTAGCTGATATCTGGTCCGTTCAAGATCTGGGCACCTCCTGGGCAGGCAGCTGAAGGAGAAGCTTCAGGCAACAGCAGGAACCTCAGATTTGAGGGGAAAGGGGGCCTGTGGCAAGGTGCCATGTGGATTAAAACGTGCCTGGTTGGTTTTGGAGAGGAGACCCAGGGGGGAGCTCTGGGTTGGGATGTGTGAGGTGGGTTTTGGGCCAAAGGACTTACACAGCAGGGGAACCCAAGCTGGGTTTAAGGTAACCCATCTCTTCTCTCTCTGGTGAGGCAGTTTTTGTTAAGGTACTGAACACACACGATTCCCCTTGCTCAATTCTCCGGACTCTCCCTCTTCGCATGTCCTCATCTCTCCATCTCCCCCCTACATCCCATAGCTTTTTGCTGTTTAAAAAAAAAAAAAATCTGCCCATTGAGGTACCTTCTGCCCTGAGTCCATCCTTATCTGACAGAACATCTTCTGCACTTCTTCCTCACCTGATGCCGTGCTTTGGGCTTGGGCACTGACCTCGCTCCTTTGCCTGCTGTTTGTGTGGCATTGGAGGAGACAGTAAAACTGAGCTTGGGAAGTGTTAGTGGCAAGGAGGGCAGTCACGGAAGAGGAGCATTAGCTGGGAGTTATGGGATGATAGCTTAAAAGGAAGAAGGAAGGGAAATTTTGAGATTAACAGCAAGAAATCTCCTGGGTAGTGAACCTCATTAGTCAGCGCAATAACCTCCCCTTCATTTGGCAGAGCTGACTAAAATGAGCCTGGACAAAACACCTTAAAGGTCTTTAGGCCCTCCAGCTTGTGTGACTCAGGGCCTTGGGGGGTTTTTAGCTCCCTTGGCTGGTTATGGGTATTCCTTCAGACACCTCTGGCTCCCAATGACTTGAGCTGGCAGAGCACTCTGCAGGTGTTTCGTAGCTGCCGATAGTCCAAGGTATAAAACCACTCTTCTGC